AAAAAAAAAAAAAAAAAGAAAGAAAGAAAAAGAAAATTAGAAAAGAAACAAGGCATCCAGTTCTCTACTTGGCCATCTTCTTCATTTGCTCCTCTTAGAGTACAGATTCACTTTGGTTGATCTTAAGAGGAGAAACTTAAATACAAAAGTCAAGCAGTGCACACAGTATGGGCTGAGATATTCAGCATGAGGTGCTGGGTCTGCTTGTGGCTCGTGGCCACGGCCCACAGTGGTAAAGCTACACTGATAAGACCAGTGGCTTTTTAAGCATCTCGCTTAAGCGCTGACCTCCGTGCACAGAAAAGAAGGGGTTGTCTTATCTGAAGCTCTAGTTAGTAAGCGCGCCAAGCTGGGAGGCTAAATTAAAAGCTATTTAGTGATCGTATGTGGTGGTGGGTAGGCCTATGGGCATACGTGTGAGGGGAGGGGGCAGGGCAGAATCCATGCTCCTGCGTTTCTTCTTACCACATTTCCGGAAAGATCCTCGTTTTTACTGAAGAAGGAAAAGACCCAGAATAGACCAAGAACTTGTCTGGAGTCACATGAGAAGTGACAGAACTGCTCCCCGGGCCCCATACTCCTTGCACTGAAGCAGTCTTAAAATAGACACTGCAGATAAAGGAGAGGTGGCCGGGCTGGAAGTGGATCTGATTCACAAAGAGAGAAATATCAGATGTTAATCATATTAAAGGAGGATTTAGATGATGCTAAATGGGGCAGCTCGTTGGGTACCTCCTGATGCCAGCCGCCCCTGTTTGTGTCATTCTGGCCCTTGTGCTGTGAGCAGGGGATTAAATTCCAACCAGGTAAGGTTTAAAAAACCCTAAAAATCCTGATGTGCCCTGTAAGGATTTGTCCTCTCGAGGATATTACACAGCAAAAATGCAGCACTCAGCGCACGAACCTTGGGCAATTCTTTTATGAAGCCTGACGCACACTGCCAAACAAATATTTGCCGTAATCAGCCGTAAAGAGTTCACTAGTGCACAGCTGAATTCTCCTTGGGTCAAGTTTAGAGCAACAGACTTACCAGAAAGGGGCAGAAAAAGACATGGAACTCTGAATAAGGTTTCTTTAAACTATTTAGCCACAGTCCTCCTCTTCAGCTTTAAAAGAAATTCTGCTAGAGTGTCCCATCAGGTTAGTCAACCAGAGCTCTCTTTCAACACACTTTAAATACAGAGACTTTAAAATGGTGAAGCAAAACAAGGAGGATCCCCACTTTTCACGTGTTCAGCCTGAGAAAAACCTTGTTCATAACACATTTGGCAAGAAGAACATTGTAGTCTAGGACGACAAAGGTAAATTGGTGGCTTCCAGTATAATGGTTCAAACTTCCAAGGGAAAACTGTGACCTCCCCACGGCTAAGCTTCCACCTTCGGTGCCTGGTAAGCCACCATCACTGATCTGCGCTGCTAAAACCTGTGTGGGAAGGGCTCCCCAAGGGAATGGGCAGACAGGGGGGCAGGAAAGGGCGGATCCTTTCGTTGGCAAGTCTAGACCAAGATGCCCTTCTCTTCCCCTGAAGCTGCAAACTTCTGGGTGTTTCTGGGTGCCTATCTATGTGAGGAAAGCAAGACTATTAACATAAGGTTCCGGCAGGAGCAGATGTGGGAGAAAAAAAGATTCTCGTCCTCAAGATAACAACAAGAAAGGGACCGACTTTATCAGGCCACGGCCTGTCTACACTCACCATCGGGGGTTCAGCCTGCAGAACCCTTGCCACATCCCCACCTCTAACTATTGTTGCCTGAGCCAGCAGGGCTCAGCAAAATGCCTTTGTGAGGACTGGGAGATTCGCTAGTGTTGTCTCATGGAGAGTCATCATGTTGCAATGAAAAATGTTTGCTGAGGCACCACATTAGCCAGTAAAGAAACGCCTTACTCATAGCCACACATCTTTCACTGTTGCATAGCTATTGCTTTCTGGGACTCGTCTATACTGCTTTGCGTGTATCTAGAATATGCATGTCGTAGATGTGTGTGTGTGCGTGCGTGTGCGTGCGTGTGTGTGTAAGAGGGCATGAGCGCCGGGCAGCTTGGTTGCGAAGCTACGCACACGCGAAATAAACACACTAGGTTCTCTCCCGAAAAGAACAAAAACGAAACAAAAACAAAAACGAAAGATGTTGATGGCTCTCATAATACGGACTTAGTAAATTCTCGTACCATTTCTTCCATAAAGGCAATACATGCTGATTAAAGTAGAAACCACAGAATCACTCCCCAATCAACCTTTCCAGATTTTTTTTAGAAAACAACTTTTGCAGCTATCCTAGCACACAGCGTATGTCAGCCCAAGCGACATGCCAAAACCTAAATAGCAAAAAACGCCTATCAGAGTGGGGACCTCTTCTCTGGAAAGGGAATCACTGTGTGGGTGGGTTCCTTGCTGCAGTTTTCTTTGAATTCTCCAGTTCCCTCTTTCTGTGGCCAATGGGTCTTCATGCAAGCAGCCGAGCTGGGGAATGGGAAAGGAAGCAGAAGTGGGTCAGCTCCCCAGGACCCGGATGGGAACCACACAGGGGGCTCCTCACTGCTGCTTTACCTCTTACCCCAGTGGGGCATGCTCTTAGGAGATAACGAGGCTGACGCCGATTTGGGGACACTGCTAAAGAAAATAAATTTCTTAAAAAAAGAAAAGGGAAGTGACCAAACGATAAAGATGAGTTCCTACCTCAAAGTCATTTGCTTTATTGTAGTGCATGTTCAGAGCCCTGTACAGCTCACAGTCTCTGGTTATAGACAGCTCTTCAGTACTGGTGACTCCGTCGTTGATGGCTTGACGCGCGTACTTCTCCATCTGAATGTAGTAAAACTCACGGAAATTGCTAAACCACTTGATGAGCTGAGAGGTAATGCATCTGTTGAACTGTCAAATTTAAATGTTGAAAAGGATAAGAACATCACCATTTTCTTCATTTATTCTTTAAGCAGTCTGAAGTATTTTTAAAGATCTCCTCTCCTTCTTGCTTGGATGGGTGTGTTTTTGATTTCACCAAAATGGTGGCAAGAGGGGTGAAAGCAGTAATACGTTCATAAGATATCATAAAACCCGTCAACAATGGAAACCACTCCCCAATCCTCCACATTTCAAATGGAAAACTTGCATTCTAAATCTGATTTTCTGTAAGCTGAAGATCTTATTTTAAACATCGTTCTTCAGCTTTCAGTGGAACGAACTGTATGTGTGTACTTCTTATGGAAATTCATTCAAACCACAAAACCCTGGGAAGAGTTGTTACTTTCAAGTACAGCCTCCCCTGCTTTTCAAAAGTTCATGTTCCGCCATTTTGCTTTTACGAAAAGGCCTACCTTAGTGCCTGGTTTCGTTAACAGAAACAAATCCAAAGAGGATTTTTGCTTCTCAGAAAGAAAGCGAGAAGGGAAAATAGCATTCAGCATTGGTTTTGCAGCGAGCCATTATGGAGGCAGCACACACCCCCAGCAGCAAGAGTGGCTCCACCAAGCTCCTTCCCCAGGAACGAGGCTCAGCATCTCAGCATCAAGCCGCCATAGCTTTGAACTGTGTCTGTGAGCATCTGTGCTTTATTTGATTTATTTTGTGCATCTGTTATCGAGATGTGTCCTAGGGTATCAGAAAAGTCTAAGAGAGGTTATTTTTTGGGTCTGGGAATGCTCAACATTCCCCCCATATAAATTAATGGTAATTGCTTCTTTGCTTTATGCCATTTCGGCTTATGAAAAGTTTCATAGGAACGCTCTACTTTTGGATAGCGGGGGAAACCTGTACCAGAGATGGTGAGCCACGTGACTTCACCACCAGCATGATTTCTTTTTTTAATGAGAATTTGTGTCATCACATGACAGCCCCGTACAATGCTGGAAAACAGCTTTCGTGCAAAAGGGGAGGAAGCTGGCATTTGCTTATTTTTTGGCAAATGGGTGATCCCCATGGCCATCCAGCTCTGATTCCACTTTATGTTCGCACATGGCACTCACGTCCGGTCCTATCTGGTCAGACCGCCATGCCTGCTTGCACACTTCCCATGGCCAGCATCGGATAAGACCCACGCCCCTTTCCGTTGGCGTCTATGCCGTTTGGAAGGTGTGGTTAAGACGCAGTACGCAGATGGCATAGGCAGAAACTATATTGCGTTTTTTTTAAATGCCAAGTTACCATAACATGATTAGGCTTTACAACTTTGTTTACCAAGGTTCCCTGATGACCTTTTAAATGAAGATGTCTTCCTGGATTCACTGCAAATGATACCATTCTTATTGACAAACCTCTGTTCACGTAAAGGACAGATGCGTCTCAACTTGCCAAGTCAAAACCAATAAATCCATAGCTTTATATCAGGCGGGCTGACAGACAACCCCCTGCCTTTTGTCATTACAGGCATTCCCTTCCCGGGGCCCCCAGAAAAAGATGTACATTCATCAAAAATCAACAAAGACCACTTATCAAACACTGGCCATGAGAACATCCAGACTCCAACAGGATGACAGCGAAAGTGTGTATTGGGGCTGTAATTACTACACAGAAAGTTGTTCCTATACTAGCAAAGATAATAAATGAATGAAAATTTATGGCAGAGAATGGACATAACAAGGAAACAGAAGCAGGGAGACTGGTGTTTCTCCCAAAAGGCCAACTTGCATCATAATTGCCATGGAGTTGCAAGGGCCCTTACAGATAATTGACCAGAAAATGATTAAGTCATCAGCAAATCGCTTCTGCTTGCAAGAGTTCAAACATGTACTTAACCTATCCAAGAATTATATTTTCACTCTGTGTGTCTGCTCTGTCTCTATTCAGCCTTGCGGGGAACCCGATTAAAAAGACAACTGAAGGACCCCCCTTATCTGATCTTCTGGTTGCCGATTTCAATAGAACTTAAACCCATTACGATTTGCTGAACTTGGAGTTCTTTCCATTTTATCTCAGCAGTAAAATACACTGTCCAAATTTCCAGACACTGAGATAAGGACTACAGGCCCCCGTGACGGCTTACTGTTCCTTTTTAATTCTTTTAGAATAAGAAACAAAACATTACAAAATGATAGCAGGCTGTGCACTGGGGAATGAAAATTGCTTTGACATGGAGATTAGGCTTCTGCATTGTTACAAGACATTGTCTCCTATGGACAAGAGTACTGTAGAGGAAAAAAATAGAAGGGTGTTTTTTTTCTAGAATGGTCATGAATGACCTAATGGGGGAGGACAAAAAAGTAAGTGCACTTGCCATTATTTAGGAATGGGACATAAAGGGAGATTTAAAGCTTATTGTTAGAGAATGGAAATACCAGAGAGAAAGAATGGGCAAAAACAACAGACTCCCCCGACATAAGACAAGTGAAATGACCATCACAACAGCTTGAAGAACAGGGCTTCCCTCCACTAGAAGTGAACTGAAATTCGTTCTGTTTTAGTCGCTGGCGAAAAGCGAAGGCAGGCCCCCTCTTTTCCAGATATTCACGTTGGGGGAGAAAAAGTGTTAAACTTTAAAGAGTTAATTTCCCCCCCGGTTCCGTAGTGGCATACAAGAAAAGGATCAATTGTTCTATAAAGGAGACCTCTGTCGTGTGTTAATGTGTTACTGCAAAAACTAATCGCTACAATAAAGAGGCTGTGTTTCCACAGTGTGTGAGTCTCTGTGACTTTGATTAATGCTTCCCACGGGACATCTCAGCCTCAATATGGGCTGAAGAAACTTCCTAAATATTCAATGAGCATGGTCAAAAGATGTATAAAACAAATCAATCTGACACCTTAATCTGGCTAGGCAGCAGTTGACTCAAGGGGTGGAGGGAATGAGATACATCATTTAACACTGCCGGCGTGAAAAGCTGTGAGCGTCTGTTCTTCAAAGCTAAAATGGCACCGGATCTGTTGTCCTTAGTGGTCTAAGAGTTATTAGTTGATACATTAAAATCAGCACTCGGGAGCGCACAGGAAGATGGTGGGGCCCATTGCTCTCTGGCACGGTCTCTCCCATTTGCCCCTTTGCTCTTCCCAAAGGCTGGGCTTTTCGTCTGGCTAAATGTCATGGTGAGGGAGTGAAGTTGGAGTCCGTGAGAACGTGGAACTCTGTTTCGATTCTGACTCGAGGAACGAGACCAAGTCAGCCTTGGCTTCATCCTTCCTCTGTATCAGCCCTGTAGGACTCTCACCAAGCCAGCGTCTGAACTGTAGGAGGTTTTCCTCCACCTCTCTCTTTGCAAAGCAATTTAAAAGCATTCACCTAGCCTGCCCAAACGGAAGTCGCTAGTGGAGAGTGAAGCACTGTATCCATTCCTAAGGCAAAATGCAAGGGAGGGTGGATCACTCTGGCTGGGCTCACCTTCTGGAGCTGATCAGAGGATTCACTTGGTCTAGCGCGATCTTCCAACTGTGTCTTTGATGACACCTAGGCTGAGCTTCACTCATGACACAAAATATTTTCTACTGGTGTTGTTTCTTCTGTGTTTTTGTTTTTTCACTTGCGGAAGTAACTCCTGATCCCCATTTGAAATGCAATGACTTTTATGGTTTGGAAAGGCACATTTTGCTAGGATTAGGAATTTTCATCTAAGTAGATGAATGCAGCCACAATCAAGTGTAGGCTTGTGTGATTGTGACAAGTACTACTTGGTCCACAGACACATGAGCGTGTCTTTCTCAAGATGGGTGATGCTGAGTGTCACTTCCGATAACTCCTAAGGTGCTTCCTCTAATTTCTAGGGGGTCTCTTAATTCTGTAGCGGTTTTCTTGCATCTAAACTTTGTCATATATAGAGGAAACATCTAGTTATTTCAGTCTTGCAAATAAGAATGCACCTTTATGTGTCTATATCTAGAAATAGGTACGTGTGTGTATATATAGATACACATACACCTAACATAACATAATAATATCATATGACATCAAATCAAATTCTGGATTTTCCTTAATATTAAAAAATCCAAGAATGCTCTGCCATTGTTTTCCACAAAGTTTCTGGAACACCATGCCTAGAGTATCCTTCACTTTCTATGCATGCCTTTCCAATATCATCAGCATAAGGCCGGGGAATACAAATTCATTTATTACTAGCCAAAGAAAAAACATAATTAGCAAAGTTAAAAATGTATAATTCATTCCAAAAATAAAAGAGAAGTGACCTTTGGTGATTTTCTGCTATGCATTATATGCCCTACTGTTTCCCCTCCATTAGAGTGGATAATTGGGAATTAACTAGACTCAAGTATACTTTAACAGCCTTCTCTCCCAGTATGGATGGAGTATGGATAGAATCTATAATGTGAATATTAGTGCTTTTTTAAATAAAATATTCACCCCAGTATTTAATTGTTGTTTACATAGTGATTATTTGCAAAGCTGAATTACTAGTTGTATTCTAAAGGAATGGGAACAATTTCATGTCAGTTTACACTGCAGAGTATTTATAAAGATTACAGATTAACTACTACAGATTAATAATCTCCCCCATCCTTGCCCTTCTCCCACCCACCCCCCATACACACATGCTTGCGCGTGAGGAAGTTTCTAATATTTACATCTACTATTGGATAGTGTTGCTGGCTCAGAATGGCTGCTTTCCACCCTCCAGGTGGCTGCAATTCAATGGTAGGCAAGGGATCCCTATGTGTACAGTTTGTAAAGCTCTCTGGCCTCCTTGTGATACAAAGCGCTATCTAAATAACGTAAGGCATTGCCATTATTATATCACAACACTGCAGATCATTGCTCTAAGAAGAGTGGAGGAGGTAACATGGGCACCTACACACACACACACACACACACACACACACACACACACGTGTGCAGTCACACTTTCTCCCTCTCCTCCATGTCCCCCTGTCCTCGAACTAGTGTTGAGAGGACCCCGTGACAGAAGTCTGCCGGGTTCCACTAGGCTCCGGAAGCTGTCTGGTCTTCAACCAGTTGACAAATTCCCTCCATGGTCTCTGTTTCAGATGGTCCCTCACAAAGTCCAGACCCTTTCCCTGGCCTGCTGTGTCGCTCAGCCTTTTCTGCGCTTTAAGGATCCTCAACCAGCCATTCAAGTTACTGCCTTTCTGTGCCTTCCCATCCAGCCCAGTCTGCTGGCCCCGAGTGGGGAGAAAACATGCCTTCCACTTAAGGAGCTCCGCCAGGGGAGGAGAAAGATAAAAGGCTGAAGTTGATACACAATTCAAAAGCTAACAGGAGGGAAAACAGAACTTTTCTTAGGAGGCCAAATAAAACATCAGCGAAGGAAACTAAAATGAGTTGGCCTGCAAAGGGGGCCGACGCAGCAAACTGGGCATCGGGCACAGAACACACCACGCGGAGGGAGCGGAGGAACAACAAGCGTGTTCTGGCAGCTCCTGAGTTCTCAGCGGCAGAAAGAAGAACTTGTACATATGGGGGGTGGGCAGCAGAGGGCGGGGAAAGCGCCCAACCCCAATAAACTAATCTCAGCTAATGTAATGTTTATCAAGTCCCTCAGATAATGATACCATGCGTGTCATTATCATCATCAAAACCCAATCTATGTTTTAAAAAGTTGCAGATGATTAACACAACATCAAGTTGTTGCAAACAATTACTTAAAACCCACACACAGACACAGACGCGCGCGCGCGCACACACACGCACACAGAACCAGGAGGTCCCCATATTCTGTAGAATGAGGGAGGCTGCAGCTGTAGGCCGACAGCTTTCATATCCTCATTTGAATAATGTGTCCTGAATCTGTCACTTTATTCATTCTCCTTATGCTCAGTGTACTCCACATCAACAACAAATTAAGTTGTAAATAAGAGACAATCATCACTTTTGTTTTTAAGCAGCTACTGCATAGAGAATTTCAATGTACGCTCCTTCCGACGGGGGAAAAGACGTGCTAGAGTTTGCTTTCATAAGCACAAATATGGGGAAACCAACAGAAACGAAAACAGAAACAGTTTACTGTTGCTCAGGGGAGGAGAAAAAAAAAAAACAACATTCTCTAAAGCACACCCATCCAGGACTAGCTGCGATTTCTTCCAAGGAGTTACTAAGACATATAAAGACAAGAGGCGAAGTTTCACGGGTCACAATGGAGACCCATGTGACTTCATACCAGTCTTTTGGTCGTAATGTAAGGGCGTCTTTGCCCAGTTCAGCTTTAGACGGAATTGCGAGAGCATTAAATCGATTCTAACACAGGTGTCTTCGTGAATTGTTTTCACACTCATCTCCATTAACTTCCAAGAGTTCAAATCACTACCACAGGCACAGAAATGGAAAAATTACTGGTGAAAAATGTCCTTACCTTTACATCGGAGAAGTACGTCTTCAGCATATTTGAGCTGGGATAACGGGTATAAAAGAACATGAGCTTTGCTTTTTTCAAGTGATTGGGTGACAATCCTTCCTGCATGTAGGATGCATTTGGTTAAGGAAAACATTTCTTTAAACACAAGCACCTACCACCCCCATCCCC